GATCTTACAATTCCCCTAAAGCACACAAAGGTGACAAGGTCTGTTGGGCAGTGGCCACATCTGCAGCAAGTGTGCTTCCCGGAAGTAGAGAGAAGTAAGATTTCTATCCTGCTTGGTACAAACATCCAAGAGGTCTTCATACCGCTCGAAGTTAAAAGAGGTAAACCAAATGAGCCGATCGCAATCAAGTCCTGTATTGGTTGGAGTATACTTGGTGGCTGTCCCAGTGTACCTTCTTCCACTCCTGTGCAAGTCAATCTCATTAATGGGGAGGATGTTACCCTAAGTGACCAGCTTGAAGAATTCTGGAGAGTCGAGTCCTATGGTACGAGCAAGTGTGAAACCAAGCCCCTGTCTGTGGAGGATCAAAGAGCTATGAACTTGATATCCAATTCAATCTGTAAACATGATGGCCATTATGAGATGGGACTCCTGTGGAAGAGTGACAATCCTGTGCTTCCTTACAACAGAACACTAGCTGAAGCGAGACTGCAACACTTAAAGAGACGCTTCCTTCGAGATCCAGAACTTGAAGTCAAGTATAGAGCTGTGATTGAAGACTGTGTGACCAAAGGATATGCAAGAAAGCTCACAAAGGAGGAAGCAGAAACAGTCAGCAAAACCACATGGTTCCTGCCTCACCACCCAGTAAGCAATCCGAACAAGCCAGGCAGGGTGAGAGTGGTATTTGATGCGGCTGCAAGATTCAGCGGCACATCCCTAAACGAACAGCTAATGCAGGGACCTAATCTGACAAATGACCTATCTGGAGTGTTGATTCGTTTCCGTGAGGAAGAAATTGCCTTCTCAGCGGATATCGAGGGCATGTTTTACCAGACCAGAGTATCCCCAAGTGATACAGATTCTCTGAGGTTCTTGTGGTGGCCTAAAGGTATTGACGAGCCTCCAGAGGAATACAAAATGTTGGTCCATATTTTTGGTGCTAAGTCTTCACCCTGCTGTGCCAACAAGGCGTTAAGCATGACAGCACAAGACAATGAAGAAAATTACCCACCTGAAGTGATCAGAACAGTTCGTAGAAATTTCTATGTGGATGATGTCCTGAAGTCTGTCCCAAATATTGATCAAGCCGTACCTCTGGCCTCAGATCTTATGAAGTTGTTGAGAGAAGGAGGATTCCGTCTAACAAAGTTTGCGAGCAATAGTCGTGAATTGCTAGCCTCAATTCCTCCCGCGTCGAGGGCGAATCCCAAGTTGGACCTAGATCTAGACCAGTTACCCCTAGAGCGAGCGTTGGGTGTCTACTGGGACGCACAGACAGATACCTTTAAGTTCAAGGCCTTACAAGCGTACAAGCCATCCACCAAGCGAGGAGTGCTTTCCGTCGTAAGCTCCCTGTTTGATCCGTTGGGATTTCTTTCACTCTTTGTGTTCACAGCCAAGATTCTGTTACAAGAGCTGTGGAGGCAGAAGTTGTCTTGGGATCAAGAAATTCCAGAGCCGTATTCGTCCCTCTGGCAGAAGTGGTTGCAAGAGCTGCCGTGTGTTACTACAATCGAGATACCAAGGTGTTACAAGGCCCAGTGCCCTAGTGCACAAGCCACTGTGCAGTTGCACAATTTTTCCGATTCGTCAAGGCATGGTTATGCAGCAGTGTCTTACCTACGGTTCATTGACGAGCAAGGAGTGATCCACTGTTCCTTCGTTATGGGGAAGACCAGGAATGCGCCCATCAAAGAGTGGACTATACCTCGCCTAGAACTGCAGGCGACAGTGTTAGCGGTACGGCTAAGTAACTCAATTCTGAAGGAGCTCGATCTGCGAGTAAATGAAATCTTTTTCTGGTCAGACTCGATGACCTCCCTTCAATACATCAAAAACCAAACGAAGCGCTTCCAAACATTTGTTGCAAATCGCGTGGCCGAGATCCATGAATCAACCACCCCAGAACAATGGCATCACGTCCCAGGTACTATGAACCCCGCTAATGAGGGTTCACGAGGCGTCGCAATAAAGCATTTCCAACCCGGATGTCGGTGGTGGTCAGGTCCTTCCTTTCTGTGGCAGCCTGTACAACAGTGGCCTAATGCTCGGGTGAAAGACATTCGAAGTGATGATAAAGAAATACGAAAACCAGCCACAATCATGTTCACCACTGAAACGTCCCAAGTCAATCTCCTACTTAAGCGCTATTCGTCGTGGTCCCGTTTGCTGAGAGTTATGTCGTGGGTGCTTCGCTTTGTCAAGGCACTAAAGAAAGAAAAACCTGAATGTATCGTCGGAGGTACACTTACCCTTTTTCAGCTTCAGCGAGCAAGCGAAGTAATTACGCGACTGGTGCAGCGCCAACATTTCCGTGAAGAGTACATGGCTTTGAAAGAAGGCAGACAGGTGAAATGTAGCAGTAGCTTGGCCACTCTTAGTCCGATCCTAACTGATGGCATTATACGTGTTGGAGGAAGAATTCACCGTGCTCCGATTACCTTTGAAGCCGCCCACCCAGTGATTCTTCCAAAGTCAAGCCCTGTGTCTGTATTGATAGTTCGTTACTACCACCATGTGCTGGGCCACGCAGGCCGTGAACATGTGTTGTCCGTCCTCCGCCAGCGTTACTGGATACTGAGAGGCAGAGCTTTGGTGCGTCAGATCCTGAGCAAGTGTATAAGTTGCCGCAAGCGGAACACGCCTGCCTTACAGCAAGCGATGGCTGACCTGCCAAAGGAAAGGCTGGTACCTTATCATCCCCCGTTCACCTTTACGGGCCTCGACTTCTTTGGCCCCTTCTACGTGAAGCGCGCTCGTAGTGTTATCAAAGTGTATGGTTGCATATTCGTGTGCTTTAACAGCCGAGCAGTCCACATCGAAGATGTTAGTTCCTTAGAAACAGATACCTTTATTTTGGCTCTCCGCCGGTTCATCTCTGTTCGCGGCTGCCCTAAGGAAATCTGGTCAGATAACGGCACGAATTTTACTGGCGCTGAGAGGGAACTTCGGCGTTCGGTTCGAGAACTAAATGAAGAACAAATCAGGAGAGAGCTACATTCGTACGATGCGGAGTGGTTCAAATATGTGTTGCCAAGGTGGCGTTTCCAACCCCCTACCGCGAGCCACATGTCAGGCGTGTGGGAGAGGCTTATTAGAAGCGTGCGGAGGGCTATGAATGCTGTCTTGAGCAAACCAGGGGCTGCAATCCCTTTGGAAACCCTGCGCACCGTATTCGCCGAAGTCACGTCCATTCTAAACAGTCGTCCCATTTCCCCAGCAAGTGATGATCCAAGTGACATGGAGCCACTCACTCCAAACCACCTACTTCTACAGCGACGAAATCTCGCCATACCCCCGGTGTCTTCGCCAAGGAAGAGCTGTACTCACGCAAGCAGTGGAGACATGCGCAATTCCTTGCTAACTGTTTTTGGTCGCGATGGGTTCTAGAGTACGTGCCTACATTTTACAGCAACGCCACAAGTGGCTACTAAACAAGAGGAATTTGGCAGTGAATGACCTGGTTCTTGTGGTGGACAAAACTGTGCCGAGATCCCGCTGGTTGCTGGGTCGCGTAATGAAAGTGTTTCCTGGTGAAGATTCACGTGTCCGCACCGCCGAAGTGAAGACAAAGGACTCTTCTCTTACTCGTCCTGTGACCAAGCTGTGTCTTCTTGAAGAAGATGCGTGACGGGTTTGCCGTAGAGTGCACTGAACGTTGCAAGATTGAACTGAAAACATTGTCGTGAACTAACAGTCGGTTTAGAACTTTAACATTGATTAGTGATTGTCTACGGGGGCTCGTTCAGCCCTACCCCCCGGGATGTTGAGGCCAATCCTCAACAAGAGAACATTTTTTTTGTTTTCCTAGTCCGTTCCATTCCGTTTTGTAATTTATTCTCCCAGCATGCTTAGTGAGCGCGTCTCAGTGTCGTCGTGGAGCGAGAAAGAAACCATGTGCTTTTGTAACGCGGTAGTCGCCGGGAGTTTCTCATCGTATGGTGAGTCTTAGGAGCTCGTTTATTTCCAAATCCCTTTCCAGCAGTGATTAAGTATTTGTTTTGTAGGTTTTTACTTGCGAGGTGAAGCTTGTTAGCCAAAGATGAGACTCCAAATTCGATCCTGTTGTGTTGTTGAGGAAATATGCTGAGTGTGCAACTCTCGATTATTAAACTTGTGTTCAGGGACCCTTGTGTTGTGAAAGCGCGTTTTGTCCCCTGGACAATTGTGAATCCTAATATTCGGACGAAAAAGGAACAAAGCATCGATACTAGGAGAAAGACAGGAAGTAGAATCAAGAAGAAGTGTACTGCAGTAAAAAGAGTAAAAAGCCCCAATAAAAGTTTTGACAGTGTGCTGGTAATGTCAGCAATGAATTCGACGACTTTGAATCCAAAATTTATAAGGCTGATCAAGAACAAAGTAAGAAATGGTGAAAATAAAAATAGATTAAGTAGTAATGAAACAGAAAAGAAAAACGAAGCGATTACTACCCAAACAAGACCCGCAAGAAACAGCGTGACCAAACTAGAAAATAGAACCCACAACGTAAAAAGCGCGCGTCTTATTCGTGATCCGTTATGATTCACCTTTAAGTAACAGGTAGAAATGTTTCCTAATTTCTTTAGACCGCTCTTATATTGGCTAAGAAATCTAAACATCATCAAGTATGCCACTTTCTGGATAATATTTAAGTGATGGAGCATGTTATCTCCAATACTTACAGAATCTTCGTTTTCTGCTGTAATAGGTAAAGAGAAAAGGCATTTGGCGAATTTACATCATGAATCTTTGTTTTCTGCTGTAATAGGTAAACAGAAAAGGCATTTGGCGAATTTACATTGCCAACACTTAAAATCCTGGTTGAGGAATAAATCCGTTGGCCTTAAAAACAAAACTGCTATCAAACACGTTAAAGTTAATAAGGCTGCTAAAAAGTATGTAAAGGGTCCATTAGGAGGCAATATGAAGATAGTGAAAAAAACCTCAAGTTCAAACTTAGTTCCCGGTGGAACCTTCCTTAAGAGTTCATCGAAGTATTTCTCCTTGAGGACAAAGAATAAACCGACATTTACATAGAGGCCAAATGGAAAAATACAAAACAGCAAAACCGCTAACTTAAGGTTAAACGACATCTTTACATCGGGCAGCCCCTGAACACATCCCAGCAAAGCCGTTGAACAGGTTACCGGACTGGCGTCATCTACAGGAATTTCATCTAAGACCTGAGATGACTTCAGTCTGTCTTCTTTCACAACATGAATCTCAGGAATTGCCTCGTATCCACTTCTTGCATGAATAGTTGGCTCATCAGTGTTACCTTCCCTCTCACATTCATACTGAAGATTGAAAATATAGTCTGGCAACAGCAGAGGAAGTGCAGGGAAATATAACGTTAGGACGACAGCTAAGAAAATCAGAAAGTTTCCTATCGCTTGGTACCAGTTGCTACCCTCGACAGGAAGATCACAGTTAATGCTTGACGCATTAAGCCTGCAACAATGATACTTTATAGACCAGGTGTCAGAATACTCACGTTCAATTTCCCCTATCATTGCAACACAGACCACCCCAGTGTTGCCGCCTTCACTTGTTACATTGTCCAACAGTGTTCTTCCGACGGCCATGTTCTGACATGTTGAGTTTAATCCCGCAAGGCATCCACTCGGTTCATCTCTCAGAGGCACTGTCATGCTTCGCACTTGGTAATTGAGCAGGCCCAGTGATAAAATGTCGTAGTCGTACGGCAAAGAAAGCATGGGTTCTTTATTTGACCGAGCCCACACCCATCTGTCGGGTTTAAACTCGTCTTGCAACTCCAGCGGATTGTAGCTGTTGTTACCGATCTTTAGATTCAAGTAGATCATTCTCACACCTTTCTCAGAAGCCTTAAGCCTGAATTCTGATGCGATATTTTCTCCAACAATATTGTCAACGATATTTTCTACAACAATGATACTTTATAGACCGGGCGTCATAATGCTTATGTACAATTTTCTCTATCATTGCAACACAGACCACCCCAGAGTTGCTTTCCATTGTTACATTGTCCAAATGCAACAGTGCTCTTCCGACGGCCATGTTCTGACATGTTGAGTTTAATCCCGCAAGGCATCCACTCGGTTCATCTCTCAGAGGCACTGTCATACTTCTCACTTGGTAATTGAGCAGGCCCAGTGATAAAATGTCGTAGTCGTACGGCAAAGAAAGCATGAATTCTTTATTTGACCGAGCCCACACCCATCTGTCGGGTTGAAACTCGTCTTGCAACTCCAGCGGATTGTAGCTGTTGTTACCGATCTTTAAATTCAAGTAGATCAACCTCACTCCTTTCTCAGAAGCCTTTGGCCTGAATTCTGATGCGATATTTTCTCCAACCGGCAGTACGTTACAGTTAACTAGACTGCAGTTCCGTACAGCGGCAGCAGTTGATACACAAAACCACACACGCGTGAGATTTTGAAAAACCAGGGCATTGAAAGCGGCCATATTTTTAGTTTCAATTTTTAATATCATTTGGTTGCGACTTTTTGTTTTTCAAATTTACTGACTAAGCCATTCCAGAAAACAAAGAGCCCTTTGTCTTTTAGCTGGTGGACCCCCCCCCCCGGGGGTACTCCCTTATATAGGCTATATAGGTATGTGCGGCGTTAAAGGGTATGGTTTTTTAGCCGTTTTGGTCTGAAATAGCTATAGGGTATCAATTTTGACCATTTTGGCCTGAAATAGGGTATAGTTTGTGCACTCTAGTCTTGAATTGGGGATGTTTTTGTAGAAGAAGCTACTTCTTCATCATTAGGCGATAAGACCATTTCCCTTTTAATGTTTACGCCAGCCATGTATGTGCCGTAACAGTACAGGTTTGTATCCTACGTAATAAAAGCGTATAAACATTGCCTTTAACATTGGTCTGACCTAGGCAACCGATTATAAGGCAGGTCTGAAGCAGGGTATTGATTTAACGGTCAGGTCTGAAATAGGGTAACAAATTTTTGATCAGCCGTTTTTAGTGTCGTCACGACGACACTAAAAACGGCTGTGTAGCAGACCACCACCTTGGGGACAGAAGAAAGCGGCCGTTGTGGAGAGGTGGTAGTTATGGGCGAGTCTCTATGAGGTTACAGTCACAAAAGACCAAAAATTTAACGGTCAGCCGTCAAAAAAGGTAGTTTTTTTTACCATCAACCGTCTCAACTAATCGGCAGATAAATATTAAACGTTAAAAAGTTTCAAGATACTTAAAATCTCTCCATTTCAGCTAATCCTTACGTGCTTCTGGCTCCTGAAGAATCTCTAAACTGGAAAAAAACCAGTTCTCATGTTCTCAGAAATATTGTCTCTACGACATTACAAGACCTTATAACTTGCTTGTATCTGAAAATATTTCGACGTTTTTAAGTAAAAGGCCAAGACAACGTCCAGAACACAACAGTTCATAATTTTAGTTATATAGCTGAAAATAGTTTTTGGAGATCAAATGATGCTTTGAATCAAAATGTTAACAAGACAAAAGGAGAAAGGTTCGCAAATTTAACTGTAAGTATTGTCAGAAGTATATAACTTCTGGTATTGTAGACAAGGGTGTTTGGGGGAGGAAAGCGACTTTCTCGCGTGAGTTTGCATTCCCCGTATAAAAATCGCCAAAATTAGTCTAAAAATGTTCTAAATGACTCTCAGCCTGAGGTAAATGTTTTTTAAAAGCATGTTCTAAAAGAAGGTTCTTAGGCCTGGTTCAGAAGCCAAAATTTCATGAGCGGAACCTAATACATTGAATTAAGTACATTGAAAATTCGGCGTCTGAATCAATTAGGAACGCCTTTTTGAACTTGAAGCGGTTCAGCCGTTCTTCCCGCCTAGCCTGGCTGGGAATTTCGACTTTCAATCGACTTTGGAACGGGAGCAGTTGTTGGATCTTTGATGCCTGTTGAAAAGATGAAATTGGGACTTTTTTAATACGGTAAGTTGTTGAATTAAACCGACTTTCTATGTGGATCGAATCGACTTTGAAGATGGATCGAAACGATTTCAGTTTGTATCGAATGGACTTGTATCGAAACGACTTTGGATCAAAACGACCGTAAAGCGATCGTGCCGGTTTATCTCTGCGACTGTAGCTTCGGTGAGATTCCCATTATGGGAATTACTGAACTGTACGGCTCTTGTGGTCTGTTTATCCCATGCCTGATAAAAGATTTATTTGTTTATACGGATTACAAACAGGCACTGTTTGCAAAATAATATAAACTTGTTGATGAAGATATAATTGTCATGAAAACGATGCAAGATAATAAAGTCCATCAAACATTACTAATGGACGAATTAAGCAAATTCAGGTACGATCTACAGATCTCTGTAACTCTGGGATAAAAATATACATATAAACACGGCACAAAACAGTACATAAAATCTGCTGAGAAGCAGGAAATCGCCGCCTAAAATCGCACCTTCGATCGCCTCCGAATCGCGATAAACTTACTGAAATTGCCTTATGGAGCTATTGCAAGGATCGAAGAAAACTATGAGGACTTAAAAATTATTCAAGTCGCTCTCTTCCATAATGTTTTTCAGAAAAGGAAGCAGTGTTTTCATCCCGGGTTTCGATTCATCTCTCTCACGAGATGCGTACTCGACCGTCTCAGTTTGTCGAGACCACTTGAGGACGATTTTTCGATATATGCTTCATCGAGTAGCAAGTTGTTTGCACCGAGTAGCAAGATGTTTGCACCTAACCAGATGCCAAACTGAACAGAATCAGGTGTAAACTGACTACGAAAAAAGCACTGAGCATGGCAAACTAGCCGCCGAATATAAAGAAAGCTACACCACTAAAATTGATCTAAGCACCGAATATAATAGCAAACACACTGAGTATAAAGGGGGTAGCAGTGAGTGTAATGGCTTGCACACCGGGTATAGAGTGGAAAGTACCGAGTACCTTGGATAAAGAACCCAGGTCACTGGCACCAATTATAGCAACCAGAGCACCGAATATAATGATACAAGTACCGAGGATGATGAGAAAAGTACCACGGATAAGAAAATAAAAATATCATAAGACAGTTATGGCTTTCCATGCATATACACCAACTACAATTTTAATGCCGTCTCATTACAGGGATTAGTTTAGAACTGAACAACATCATGCACACGTTACCAAACTGATTTAATTACTATTGATATTTAATTAATTATTCAATCTGGAAATCTTTAAGAATATCTGACTGATAAACACTGTTAATAGGGATAACTCTTTACGCACCTCTAGCACCCTGGTCCTTGTTTTGATATTATATGATTGGTTACTTTCTTCTTTACAGGTAAGGGCTCCTGCCGATGGCATACCGCATCAGAAAATGTTATGAAAATCGCAGGAAGACCAAGTTTTCGTTAAAAACTAATCAAAGTACTTGAGTACGGCCAAGATAAAAGGATAAAAAAAATAGGAGTAAACATCAAAATATCTATATCCTATATAATTGTATCATCACTTTCACCCTCTATTCCTTGAGGATCATTTTTCTTTCGCTTCAAGTCAAATGCGTCTTAATTTTTACTAATCCAGATCTTTGTTAAAGATCCGGCCAATAAACTCGTTGATGTTTTCTACTAACGGATTTGATGTTCAGTTTTTAATCTATGCTTACTTTCATAAATACGCACCCTTAATAATAATTCTTTACTAAAAAGAATCTTAGCTTCAAACAGGGGCACCCAACGGCAATTTTCGGAAAATATCTGTTCGGAAGACGATTTGAGATCTAGAATTTTCGGAACATTTCTTGTAAAATTTCTTGCTTGCCTGCCTCTCCTAAGATTTTCGAACATCTTCAAAATGGTATAATTACCCACTTTTAACGGATTTTACCCTAAAAAAGGCCACCTAGAATTTTCGGGAGCCTTTACCTGGCTGAAATTTTCGAAAAGGTAAGTTTTGATCCCTATAATTTTCGGATCACTAGACTTTCAGCTAGGAAATCCGAACAGATGAAAAGTTTTTAGGGGATAAAAATATGCCTATATCTACCCTTTAAATACTAAAATACGTTCAACAATGCTATGTTAAGTGGTTTTGAACTATATCGTCGTTGGGTGCCCCTGTTCAAAGCAACTATTAATGTAACCCCAAAGCATTTTTAAAATGAGAAATTGCTCTATCCGACTTGCGCAACTAGAAAGGCTTTCTTCTACCATGACTGTCAACTATGTATTATCATCAGTTTGGAAGGGGCTTCCCTGCTCTTCGGTTTCTCTGTTTACATCAACACAGCCTGTGTCTCGAACGTACTCTGTCACTACCGCCTCAATTTTCTTCTTCAGTTTGATCTTCCTCCAGCCAGTAAACCTCTTGCCTTTTGTTAGCCCTTTAAAAAACAAGCTGGGAATGGCCCCACTTAAAAAAACGGCAATGGTGGAAACAAGTGTCGAAATTTCATACTCATTTTTGAAGAAAATGATTGAAGATATCGTCAAAAACAGAAAAGTGACAATAACAGCCACCTCACCAAGCATTAGGCAGATTTTAGTTTTAACAGGAAACACTTTATCACTTACGAACCAAAACAGCTTGGCTGGAATTGTGCTATGTTCGCTGTTAAGGGTTGCTTGCATTTTCTGTTGCCAATATTTTAAGATAAATCCTTTGACTTCCATGTAACTCTTCTGCAAATTAGCGTAGCAGAAGTAAATATTTGTTACGACAACGACGAAGAAAGCTGCATAAGGAGTTACAGTTTCAACGTTTAGAACTAATCCCATGATTGTGAATCCTAATATTCCGACGAAAAAGGAACAAAGCATAAATACTTCGAAGAAGAAAGCAACTGGAATCAAGAAGTTGCATACTACAGCAAAAAGAGTAAAAAGCCCCGACAAAAATATTGACAGTAATTTGCTGGTAAAGTGAGCCCGAATTGATCTGATGATCTTGAATGTAATAATTCTACTGCAGATCATGAACAAAGTACTAACTGGTGAAAAAAAAAATAGATTAATTAGTAATGAAACAGAAAAGGAAAACGAAACGATTACTGCCCAAACAAGACTCGCAAGAAACAGCGTGACCAAACTAGAAAATAGAATCCACAACCTCAAAAGCGCTCGTCTTATACGTGATCCGTTATGATTCACCCTTAAGCAACAGGTAGAAATGTTTCCTAATTTCTGTAGACCGCTCTTATATTGGTTAAGAAATCTAACCATCAGCAAGTATGCCACTTTCTGGATAATATTTAAGTGATGGAGCATGTTATCTCCAATACTTACAGAATCTTCGTTTTCTGCTGTAATAGGTAAAGAGAAAAGGCATTTGGCGAATTTACATCGTGAATCTTTGTTTTCTGCTGCAATAGGTAAACAGAAAAGGCATCTGGCGAATTTACATTGCCAACACTTAAAATCCTGGTTGAGGAATAAATCCGTTGGCCTTAAAAACAAAACTGCTATCAAACGCGTTAAAGTTAATAAGGCTGCTAAAAAGTATGTAAAGGGTCCATTAGGAGGCAATATGAAGATAGTGAAAAAAACCTCAAGTTCAAACTTAGTTCCCGGTGGAGCCTTCCTTAAGATTTCATCGAAGTATTTCTCCTTGAGGACAAAGAATAAACCGACATTTACATAGAGGCCAAATGGAAAAATACAAAACAGCAAAACCGCTAACTTAAGGTTAAACGACATCTTTACATCGGGCAGCTCTTGAACACATCCCAGCAAAGCCGTTGAACAGGTTACCGGACTGGCGTCATCTACAGGAATTTCATCTAAGACCTGAGATGACTTCTGTCCGTCTTCTTTCACAACATCAATCTCAGGAATTTTCTCGTATTCATTTCTTGCATGAATAGTTAGCTCATCAGTGTTACCTTCTCTCTCACATTCATACTGAAGATTGAAAATATAGTCTGGCAACAGCATAGGAAGTGCAGGGAAATATGACGTTAGGACGACAGCTAAGAAAAGCAGAAAGTTTCCTATCGCTTGGTACCAGTTGCTACCCTCGACAGGAAGATCACAGTTAATGCTTGACGCATTGAGCCTGCAACAATGATACTTTATAGACCAGGTGTCAGAATACGCACGTTCAATTTCCCCTATCACTGCAACACAGACCACCCCAGTGTTGCCGCCTTCACTTGTTACATTGTCCAATAGTGTTCTTCCGACGGCCATGTTCTGACATGTTGAGTTTAATCCCGCAAGGCATCCACTCGGTTCATCTCTCAGAGGCACTGTCATGCCTCGCACTTGGTAATTGAGCAGGCCCAGTGATAAAATGTCGTAGTCGTACGGCAAAGAAAGCATGGGTTCTTTATTTGACCGAGCCCACACCCATCTGTCAGGTTTAAACTCGTCTTGCAACTCCAGCGGACTGTAGCTGTTGTTACCGATCTTTAGATTCAAGTAGATCATTCTCACACCTTTCTCAGAAGCCTTAAGCCTGAATTCTGATGCGATATTTTCTCCAACTGGCAATAATTTACAGTTAACTAGACTGCAGTTCTGAACAGCGGCAGCAGTTGATACACAAAACCACACACACGCGAGACTTTGAAAAGCCACAGCCTTGAAAGCAGCCATGTTTTGATTTTTAAGTTTTAATATCATTTGATTGCGACAGCTAGTATTAGAAACATTGGTTTTTGTCTTTCAAATTTACCGACTAAGCTATTGCAGAAAACAAAGAGCCCTTTGTCTTAAAGCTGGTGCGCGCTAGCGCAAAGGAATGTGTGGAAGTGTCTAGTGAATCTAATGTATGAATACCGTTTGGTTTTCAATAAACTATGGAAGTATGGAAATGTGGAAATGTGTCTTGATAAGCTCCTTATACCGTAGATGTGTAGAAATGGGGAAAGTGTCTTGATTACTTGGTAACTGACTTTGACGTTACTGTGGAAAGGCTGAAGTATGTCTTATCAGTGCTAGACCCTACACCTGTTATGTTTTTAATTTTTAATATCATTTGATTGCGACAGCTATTACAAACATAATCATTGTTTTTGCCTTTCAAATTTACCGACTAAGCTATTGCAGAAAACAAAGAGCCCTTTGTTTATTAAACTGGTGCGCCGTAGCTCAAAGGAATGTGTCTAAGTGTCTCAGTGAATCTGTTGCATGAATAATTTGCTTGTCAATAAACTATGGAAGTGTGGAAATGTGGAAATGTGTCTTGATAAGCTCCTATACTGTAGATGTGTAGAAATGGGGAAAAGCGTCTTGATAACTGAGTTAGTTACTGACGTTACTGTGGAAATGCTGAAGCATGTCTTATCTCCATCAGGACTCCACCCTACACCTGTGGGTAAGTCTGGAAGCCTTGGTCTGGAAGTGTAGAAATATGCATATATGAAAACGTTCCCTTTATAGCCTGCGTGGCGTGGCCAGTGTTGAAGCAGTCTGAGTTGAAATACAGTTGAATCTCTCCACAACTGCCACCTTGGGGACAGAAGAAAACGGCCGTTGTAGAGAGCTGGCAATTATGGGAGAGTCTGAATGGCGGTACCTCGATAGCACTAAACACTTCATTTTTTGGCTTTGTAACATGAAAAAGTTAAAACTCAGGCATTTTAACACTAACCGTTAAAAATTTCTTTCAAAAAGTAAGTTTTCTCCAGAAAGAAGAAAAATGGCTCCAAAAAGGCCAACATTATTTTGTTTAGTATATCAAGGAGTTTTCGGCCATTTTACGACAATTCCGGACAAGAGAGGATAAAGGGGCTAAGAGAATTAAACCCCCATATAGGCCCTATACCCATCGTAATCCCTCTTAAGTTATTTTTAGATCTTCTCTGAGCTCTGTTCTCTTGTTCTCTCTTGTTCCGGATTAGTTCAAAAGATTTTCGAAGGCTATCGACCATAACCGAAGACTTTCGAAGATTTCCGAAAACTAACGAAGAGGTCCGCCCATTGCCGAAGATGTCCGAAGAACACTCCAAACACTTAACAGTAATTTCTTTGGAAACTGTAAACATTAAAAAATTGGCCAATTTAACAGCAAACACTAAAAATTATGGGCAAATAACATTAAACTCTAATGGCCTATTCAGACCCTCTCTAAGGGGTTAACCTTCACCCATCAAACGACCAACAATTCAACTGTCAGCAGTCAAAAAGGTAATATTTTACCACCATCCATCGCAAATGCAGATTGTAAACCGTTATTAAATAGCACCACCGAAAGACAAGATGGCCTAATTGAAGGGAGAAAATCAACGAATCGATGGGACTTCGAAGAGTTAACCTACGCCATTTTTCAGTGTAATTTCACGATCGTTTGCCGAGTATCAGACACACAGGTAGACGAAGGTAAACAATTTACCACGGGCGTAGAGGGAGGTGAACGAGGTAAACATTGTTGTGAAATGCTTTAACAGATTCCCTATCCCTAAACTTATCTAAAAAAAGTCTAGTTTAAGGGTACGGGGATCTGTTAAAGCATTTCACAACAACAACACTGAAAAAGTTTCAAGCTACTTAAAACCTCCCCATTTCAGATAATCTTTACGGACGTCTGGCTCCTAAAGAACCTCTAAACCGGAAAAACCAGTTCCCATGTTCTCAGAAACATTCTCTCTACGACACTACAAGGCCTTACAACTTGCTTGTATCTGAAAATATTTCGAAGTTTTATAAGTAAGGGAGGAAGGCAACTTTTTCGAGTGCGTTTGTATTCGTCGAAAAAGTGCCAAAATTAGTCTAAAAACAAATGAGCAAAGTGAAAATGTTCTTACTCAGACTCTCAGCCTGAGGTATATGTTCTAAGTATGTTCTAAAAAAAGGTTCTTACAAAAAAAGTACTGTATTTACATTTAATCTTAACTGAATTGTAAGACTTGCCGCGATTAATTGTCGACGCGCCATACGGATCAAATTTCGTGACCATTCATGAGTTTTCCGTCAGTCACTGAAAAAAAAAATGGCCGTGTCGAGGCAGCTGGGGAAGCGCTTTAGTGGCCGATATAGAGAGGTTTAAACTGATTAGTGAATGTATGGACGGGCCGCTGGGACAAAAAAGGACCCGTTTTGGAGAGGTGGCCGTTAGTGTAAGTTCGTGTTTCGATCCTTTAGGTGTTGTAAAGTGATACTTCGGCTAATCTCACCGGGCTAGGAGGAAAATGTGAAGTACAGAGTACCGGAGTGTATTTAAAAAAAGATTCCACAGTTCGCACCCCGCACGCCTCATTTTCCACCTCACCATTAAAGGGGCTGTCTCACGGCTGCCTAGTTCATTTTCTTAATATTTCCAATTACGCTTCCCTATGCGCTATGGAACTTAAATTTATCTAAGAAATCCCTTGTAAACGAGAAAATCACAGCTTCTTGTCCAACAAATACACTTCCCACCGGCAAGCTCTGTATCAAATTTTACAAACAACAACAATGAACTTTGAAAAATCGTTACGCTAACAAGTTTTCAAAACCCACAATTTCAATCCGTTTTAATACTCTTCAAGTTTGTCCATCCGTGCTTTACTTTTGTATTTTCTGTGTTATTGGTTTCTTCTTGGAATGTTCTGAGCGATTATTTTCATCACGGCCACTTTGAGGATTACGCAATATGATGCCATTAAACTATCATACTGAGCTTGGGCTGCCTGTTTTCTTACCGCCAGCTTGTATACGATCGCTTGACTTTTGGTCGGTCAATTTCACATTCGATTCTACAACAAACAAGGGCAATTTATGCCGTGAATTGTAAATTTTACTGGCATCGAGGTCATGCACAAATAAATCCTCTGCGTCCTGTGCCTATAGCAGTCCATTGTTTCTCTCCGCCCACCAACTTTGATAGACAACGAGACCAAAACGGTTTAGCAAACTTTTAAATATATTGTAATTTATTTATAATTTATGAATGGAGTTCGGCACGGCGGTAGCACGACGTTTGAAACCAAGTCGAGCTACTGCCGTGTAGCACGGCAAACCTTGCTGTGCTACACGGCAGTAGCGCAAATTGGTTTCAAGCGTCGCACCAGTGCCGTGCCAAGGTCGAATTTAATTTGACGTTTGAAACGGGCCTTAAACTTCAACATAAAGAAAAATGGCACTGATAAAAAGTGCCAATGACAGCTTGAGAGAAATTTCTTTTCAATGGGTGTACACACACACTCCAGCCACAAACACACAGAGATTTGCCATCACGTTTTGGTAGGGAAAAAATCATCCAAAGGTTTAAACTTCAAGTGAAGAAAGACCCCACAAGGTACTCATCGTAGAATCTTTTGAAGAAGAAGATGAAAAAGCGCAGTACGCTAACTTCAAACACATCTTCATTTAATGGCTGCCTTCGCTTAACATGGGTAAACACTTGATGTTAAATCATCATAAGGTCAAAGGTTGTCTGTTTTCACGACATAAATCCCGGGGCAGGAATTCTCTTACATTAACCTTATAGATATTGCTCTGAAATAGTGTAAAGATTAGATGAGGCGGACGGTACACCCCCACTACGGAACCCCCACGACAAAAAAACAACATTTTGTAAAGTGCACTCGCCACAGGCAGCCCAGTTAAAAGATTAAGACTTATGAGGTAAGCAATAAGTTCACAGCAAGAGAGTTTTTTTGCCCAATCAGGTCGATAACCAGAGTTTAATACCATCATCAACTGACGTGATACGATTCACTGCTGCAAAAATTGACGAAATCTCAGTCATTGTCAACAACAGTCCTATTCAGTAGTAGTAAACTCCAAATAGTGGTCTATTAATCAATGTTGCGTTATGATTGGTTGAGCTAATACTAGGCTATATCGCTCCCTCTCTCCATTTTTCCTTCGTCGGGGGGAGGGTGCGGCTACACGTAGGCTATGAAAACTAAAACAATGGCGGCTGAATCGCGTTTTGCTAGCTAAAGTTTTTTTGTCTCGTCGATATTTTTCACTAACTGGATTTTTCACTGGATTTTACTAAAACAATTATTCCTCTCGGCCTCATGGGCTATTGACTCAGAGCCCATTTGAGCACGAGGAATAATTGTTAACGACACTCACACAGAGGTAGACTTGTCAAAAAGTGGAGCTCAAATTTTTTCTCGAGCGCGAGCGAGACATTTTTCTAAGTTTTCTGCGGCAAAAGCGAGCAAGAGAGCGGGAGCTCGACTCGACATTCGCGCTGGGGCCTACTACCAGAACCAGAAATGAGAAGCAAAGGACTCTGAGAAAGTCTAACCAAGAGGATGATATTCCACCAACTGTAAAACGGTTTTAACAAGTACCCACCAGTTTGTGGTCAACTTATTGGTCATTAATTACAGTATTGCGATGGTTGCAAAACTTTAATTTGTTTTTATTTATGATACTAAGTCATAAAAGTAATTGTAAGTATAAAAAGGTTTCAAAACTACGCTCTGACTTTGGCGTTTTTTTTTAACAGGCTAAACCTAACACTGGTTCTAAAGTCCAAGCTGTGTAAAAATGTGCAAAATCTAGCCTGAGTCCTTATTAGACAAGCACCAACCCTTGGCTGATGCTTCCCTGTGATCGTTCGATCGTGACCAAACGGGGTGCCCTGTGTCACTCTGGCTTGGTAACCTCTCTGTTTTAGAAATGGCGGCTGATCGAGGGAGTAGTCTCCAAAATGCTAGCCTGTGTACAGACGTCTCCCCTCCCTCAGAAAAATTCGGGAGAAGTGACGTCTTCTCTTCTCCCGATTTTTTTTCTGAGGGGGAGGGGGGCCTTCTTTTTCGATCGCTTCGTGCAGTAATGGCGCAGAGATTCACTCTATGGAATTGCTATATTTCAGGGACAAACGAACTGGTTTAGCAAAGAAGTTAGGCCTCTAAAACCGTACAAAAATGAAGATAAACATATCCTTCAAGAAACAGGACGTGGGGAAGGAGGAAACACCGACATATAATGACCTTTTACTTGCTTAAAGAAAAGCGCTTAGGCAATATTACAGACTCTTGTAAAGCAAGGAAAGCCATCTTTTTATGGTGACTCACGAACCAACTTTGGGAGCTTGACACATTGCCAAATTAACATGACTGAAAGCCACGATCGCCTTGCGAAGGTTTAGACGTGGGGAGGTGAGCGATTCTTCGTCTAACTTTATTTATCCTTAAAAGTTTCTTTTCTCCCCATTAATCCTTCATATAGAGTACTAAAGTGTGACGTCATAAAAATGAAATTTCTGAAATTATGGGATTTGTCAGGATATTCTGAAAGAACAATGTCCAAGAGGCCTCCTTGCCAAAAATGAGCATTTGGGGGCAAATTGTCTCTGAGATCGTAGCCCAGTTATGCTTACAAAACTCCATCCAAACCCTTCTAAATTTTTTTTGCGTCGACCCAAAAAAAAATTAGAAGGGTTTGTATGGAGTTTTCTGAGTGTAACTGGGCTACGATCTCAGAGACAATTTGCCCCGAAATCCTCATTTTTGGCAAGTAGGCCTCTTGGACATTGTTCTTTCAGAATATCCTGACAAATCCCATAATTTCAGAAATTTCATTTTTATGACGTCATCACTTTAGTACTCTATGGTCGCCATATTTAAAGAACGGGAAAAGTAAATGACGCGCATGCTCCAGCGCCATGTTGTCCTCAATTTCTGGCAAGAATAGATTTAAATTATTCAAGAGAGCTGTTAAAACTAAGGATCGAAATACATGGGCCGACTATAAGAGGTTGAGAAACGAAATAACATCTGACCTTAGGAAAGGGAAGGCTGCATACTTCAGAGATCACCTGAAAAAGGCGAAGACCACCTTGACGTATTGGAATGTATTATCCAAAGCTACCAACCCCAAAGTAAGGAAGAAGATAGGTCCTTTAAAGCGTGACGACAACAGCTTAGCGGTAAAAGACACGGAGAAGGCGAGCCTTATGAACTCTTTCTTCTCCACGATAGCTGAGAAATTAAATGCTGGGCAACTCCAAGCACTACACTGAACTCTTGACTAGTCCATGCTCCATACCTGTACCAAGTATATCCTATATTAGTCTATCTAGCCTTGATATTGACAGGAATATTACATTATTGAAGAATAATAAAGCCACCGGATCGGATGGTATATCACCCAAATTACTGAAACTCGCAGGTACTGCTGTTGTTGGCCCTCTGACAAGCCTTTTCATGCAAAGCATACGCGAATGAAGAGTCTACAATAATTGGAAAGTGGCCAGATTAACACCTGCATTTAAAAAAGATGATCCTACGGAAATGAGTAGTTATCGTCCCCTCTCCTTGCTAAGGGTACATGTACCCAGCAAGATTTTAGAATCGTGTAGCGGCACATGATTGCGAAACATGTTTTCTCGGAAAAACGAAGCGCTCGTCACCGACACCCCATGGGCCTACCGAAAACGAAGATGGCAGAGCTATTACTCATCCACCGGACTGAAACTTGGCGATGAGCAATCGATAACAAATTAGTTGTGGACGCCGTATTCTTAGACTTCCAGAAGGCGTTTGATCGCGTTTCACACTCAATCCTTCTTCACAAGCTAGAGCACAACTTTGAATTCACGGGAAACCTACTGGCATGGTTAAGAGATTATCTATCTGAACGGGAACAGTATACTGTAATTAATGGCGTACCCTCCGAGAATACCAAAGTTGCTTCCGGTATATCACAGGGCTCCATACTCGGGCCCATACTCTTCGCCTTCTACACAAGCGATCTACCGAAAGCAGTTAACACTGCAACGACGTTCCTGTATGCCGATGATAATACCATGTACTGTGTTAGTGAATCTGTAAACCAGGTCACAACAACGCTGAACAAAGCTCTTGAAGAACTCGCCCTCTGGTGCAAACATAACTCCCTAGTACTAAACGCCAAAAAGTGCGAGGGAATGATCCTTAAAAGAAATCATTTGATCGGTCCCTTAGGCAGTTTAAAAATTAACCAGCATCCCATAAAATGGTCCTCAAGTTCTAAGCTGTTAGGTGTAACCATTGACAACAAGCTTACGTGGACAAAACATATATCAGAGCTCAGGAGAGGGTTCGTTAACAAGCTCAATCTGATCAAACGCAGCTGCTTTTTACCCAGGAATTCGCTTTTAGACCTATATTTTAAAGTCAATTTACCCTCGGTTACCTATGCGCTACCAATTTGGGGGTGTCGTACAAATAAAAAGAATTAAATTCTTTGGAATCCATACATTGTAGGGCTGCTAGAGTTATATGTAACCTCCCGCGCGACATGCCCTCTGAAGATGTAAGAAAAACAGCTAAATGGGTCTCTTTATTCGACACTTATAAGGTCAAAATAGCCACCTTAATTTATAATGTCTACAACTGCATAACCCCATCATGCTTGGAACATATAATCCAAATGAAAGAGTCTAAGTATGACCTCCGTCATCAACATCGTGTTAGCGTACAACGTTTTGAAACTTATTATATGAAAAACTCTATTTCTTAAAGAGGATCCATTGTTTGGAATCTTTTAGAACCATCCGCTGTCAGCGCCAGGGATTATGCCAAAAGGGCAAAAAAGTCTCACGCCCTCAGAAACTTGAACTTTAATGAAGCGTCACCGCAAATGGGTCGTCCCCAAATTGACAGTGATTTCGTCTTTTATTAATTGTATTCATTATCTTTTATTGTACATATTTCACCTTTTATTGACTACATTCAATTTTAATAATTTTTATTATTTTATTAACATTTTTTACTCGGCCCCATAAGCTATATTAACTTTAAAACCCACCGTGTTTAAACAAAAGAAGTTGTTGTTGTTGGAAGCACAGGCTAACCATGCTCTCAACTTTTAAAATATATAAGGTTGTGGTCCTTCGTACGATCGACCTGCTTGGGATGCCAGTGACGACATCCATTATTAAAAGTCTCAAAGCGCACAAACAACAGGATGTAACATACTATTTAGGTCAGTTTCGTGAAGACGGTCACCTCTTCACTTTCAGACTGAATTGCAGGATCCGACTTACGCAGGTGGACTGGCTTTCCTCTAGTAAAGCGACCTTGGGCTGCCTGTGGTGCATTATTTTATACAACTATGCAACTGTCATTTTGGAAGGAACCTCCCCCTACGGTTTCTCAGTTTATTCCTACACGGCTGACTTCCCACTCGTATTCTCTCACCGCCACTTTAATTTTCCTTTCCAGCTGGATCTTTCTCCAGCCAGAAAAATTCTTCCCTCCGGTGAGCCCCTTAAAAAACAGGCTGGGAATTGCGCCACTTATAAACACGGCAATGGTAGAAACAGGCGTCGAAATTTCGTACTCATTTCTAAAGAAAATGATAGAAGATATCGTTAAAAACAGGAATATGACAATAACAGCCATGTTGCGAAGCATCAGGCAGATTTCAGTTGTAACTGGAAGCACTTCATCACTCACGAACCAAAACAGATTTGTTGGAATTGTGCTCTGATCAGTACCACTGATCGAATCTAATTCTTGCTGCCTGTATTTTAAGATAAATTCTTTAACTTCCGTGTAATTTCTCTGCAACTTAGCATAACAAAAATAGACGTTTGTTGTGGCAACGACCAAAAAGGATACATAAGGAGTTACAATTTCAACGTTTAGAACTAATCCCATTGTTGTGAATCCTAATATTCCAACAAAAAAGGTACATAATATATATACTCCAGCAAACAAAATAAACAGTATAATAAGCAGATATAGTGTAAACAGATAGAAAAAACCCATAAAACTATAAACAAAATACAGCAAATGCTATCGCGTGCTCTTAATATCGTATTATAAATTTTCTGGCCCATGCTCACCATAAGAATCGTAACTGGTGAAAACCAAATAAACAAAAAAACGCCAGAAACTAAAAGAAGAAACAAACAGATTGCTGCCAAAACAAGGCCAAGAAATAGCGTGAATAAACAAGAAAATGACAGCCACAAACTGAACAGTGCGCGTCTCACTCGTGATCCCCTATAATTCATCATTAAGTAGCACGTTGAAAGGCCTACAACTTTTCTTAGACTTCTGTTATGTAGGTAAAGTAAGGCTAACATCAAAGATTTAGTCTTTTCCGGGAGCAGTTTCAAATGTTGAAGAGTTTCATCTCCGATACTAACAGAATGGGAGTTCACTCTGTCAAATAGGCCACATAGGGGACAATTATTCAGGAACAAATCCTTCGGTTTTAGAAACAAAACTGCTGTCCAACATGGTAACACCAAAATGGTAAGGACCAAGGCTGTGCTCGGTGCGATCGCGAAAAGAGTGATTGCAGAGAATTCTGGACTTCCGGTATAAATGGGCAACTTTATGTGGCGTTCATGGAAATATTTTGGCTCAAGGACAAAGAATAATGCTAGCGGAAAATAGAGGGAAAATGGGAAAATGCAAAACATTAATACAGCCAACTTAACGTTAAACGATGGCTTTAAATCAGGCAGAAGCTGAACACATCCGAGCAAAAACGTTGAACAGGTAACCGGACTCGCGTCATCCACAGGAATTTCATCGGTGTTGCGTGACAGTCTGTTCTCTTCTTCGCTTTGAATTCTCTGATATTCATTTCTCACGCCGAGAGGTAGTTGGTTTTCAGTCATTTCCTCCTGGTTACATTCATTCTGAAGATTAAAAATACAGTCAGGTAATAGCAGAAGAAATGCTGGGCAATATAAAACCACCACGGCGGACAAACAATACAGGACGGCTTTAATCGCTTGCAGCCATTTGCTGCCCACTACAGAAAGATCACAGTGAATACTTGAGACATTAGAACTGCAGCAATGATAGTTTATCGACGGCGATAACTTCATCAATATCATTCCAACACAGACCACCCCAGTGTTGCCGCTTTCACTTAATGTTACATTGTCCAACAGTCCTCTTCCGACGGCCAAGTTCTGACATGTGGAGTTTAATCCCGCAAGGCATCCATTCGGTTCATCTCTGAGTGGCACTGTCATGCTTCCAACTTGATAATTCAAGAGTCCAAGGGAAAGAATATCGAAGTTAAAGGGCAAAGACAACATGGGCTCATTATTTGACCGGGCCCACACCCATCTGTCGGGAAGAAACTCGTCTGGTAAGTCCAGTGGATTGTAGCTGTTGTTACCGATTTTCAGATTCAAGTAGACTATTCTCACACCTTTCTCGGAGGCCTTAAGTCTAAATTCTGATTCAAGATTTTCTCCAACCGGCGTTACTTTACAGTTAAGTTTTCTGCAGTTCTGTTCCATTGCAGCCAATGATACAAGAAACAATGAAGTTGCAATAGAACTGAGAAGAATCACAGCCATTTTCGCTAGGGCGAGTGGATTATTTCCTTTGTTTGATTTTTTTAAAATATAAGAATAAGATATCTCACTTACCATAAACGTGACGTCATTCTAGGAAGTATCTGAATATCAGCCTGTTAGTAGGGCTTAGGGGAGAGAAAAGTTTGCTATCTCCTCTTTCGCTTCTCTCTTCTCCTCCCTCCCCTTCCCCACAGATACACCTGATACTCAAGCTGTAGCCTGCGTAGCAAGCGTTTCCGTCTGGTTTTCGGAGCAAAGAAACACCGATTTTGGCCGAGCGAGAAATGAAACGAGAGCCAAGGTTTGTTTCATATAGGCTCCCTCGCAGGCGTTTTTAGGGGAGATCGTATTTCTTCCCCTCCCTTTGTGGGGAGGGAAGAAATACGATCTCCCCTAAAAACGCCCACGGGGGAGGCTATGTCTCATACTGAGAAGTCATGTATGGTACGTGACATGCATATTAATTTTCTGTGGTTGTTGTTTATTCTGGTCGGTAAGATTTGCCCTTCCGTGTTTTGAAACGCAAAGCTCTTCTTGCGACTAAATAAGGGTTTCAGGTCGTTTAATTTATTCTCCAAAGTGCCTCCTGGATCTGAATAACTAAAATCGATTTTCTTTTGTCAGTAGACTGCAAAACAATCGGTTTTTTTTTTTTTCTCAAAATCAGTAAAGAAATCGGTAAAGCGGGGCGTAAGAGTCTTGCGCGCGCGAAGCGCGCGAGCCTCACACGCCCAGTCTCGCTCTCTGTTTTCATCCTCGTTACAGACCTTTTGTTTGACTGCTCGCGCGTACTTGAATACGCACAAATACGAACTGTTTTGCAGTCTATTTTGTCAGCGAATGCACTGGTAGCCCAAGCTCGAAATATGAGCATCGGCATTGTTGCGTAACATTCAAAATATAAGGATTTGTATGGGAAAAAAATCCTATCGTTTCTGTAACCTATGAAAATGAAAGGATTTCAATAAAAAAACAGCTTACCTTACTTAAAATGTGTGTTACGTCTCTCCTGTGTGGTCCACGGGCCGATTTATGGCCGTTTTATGGGTTTTTATGAAAACGGTTTTCTCTCTATATAGGTTTACCAAGGTTGGGCACTCCAGCGAAGCGGCTCGACTGATCCACCGAAGGAAAACGGCCGGAAATTCGCTCCAGCTGCTCCAATCGCCTCCAAATTCCGCCTAGGTAACACACGATAGTTCTTCTTTCCATTCGTTATCTTGCTTTAAATTCTGCATTTTGGAACAAATTATAGCGACCGTATTGTTGATATGTATTTCTTCTATAAATAACAAAGATCGTTGCTCAGATTTCAATCAACAACGGCCCCCACTAACAGAGGGTGGTCTGCCTGTGTCCTTATCTTCATCTAGTAACTCTGGAAGTGTGGAAATGTGGAAATGTGGGAATATGTCTTCATTGTCTTTGTCTAGTAACTCTGGAAGTGTGGAAGTGTGAAAATGTGGAAATATGTCTTCCTTGTCTTCATCTAGTAACTCTGGAAGGGTGGAAATGTGGAAATGTGGAAATATGTCTTCCTTATCTTCATCTAGTAACTCTGGAAGTGTGGAAATGTGAAAATATGTCTTCATTGTCTATGTCTAATAACTCTGGAAGTGTGGAAATGTGTCTTCATTGTCTTTATTTAGAAACTCTGGAAGTGTGGAAGTGTGGAAATGTGGAAATATGTCTTCATTGTCTATGTCTAATAACTCTGGAAATGTGGAAATGTGTCTTCATTGTCTTTATTTAGAAACTCTGGAAGTGTGGAAGTGTGGAAATGTGGAAATATGTCTTCATTGTCTTTGTCTAATAACTCTGGAAGTGTGGAAATGTGGAAATATGTCTTCCTTGTCTTCATCTAGTGAACGCTTTACGAAGAACATCAGGGGTGCTTACCATTTGACAGAAAATTACGGAAATTCCGGATGGAAGTTAAATGGTAAGGTCACTTTTCGGAAATCCCAACCGAAAATTGAGGAGTACGTTTTGACGTACGAACCAAACGGAATGTTGCTTACCATTAACCAATTTCTCGGTTCCAGACTCACGCTACAGAAATTCGCCCTTTTTTTGGATTCAAACCAGGAGCCCATCACCTGATTCAAACCGTAACGGACGTGTCATTTCCTATGGTAGACTGGCAAATGGCTTACCATTATGCTTTCGACACTCCAACCGGATTTTTCTCTCAAATGGTAAGCACTTCAGACCGCAGCAAAACGCTTTGAAAGATGAACGCCGCGGACACAAGAATCACCACATGAGTTAGCGCGTCAATGTGAGGCAAATCGTAAGCAAGCGCCTCAAAGTGAGGCAAATGTGTGTCGACGACGAAAATGCATTCTCAAAAAAATCTCCCTTATTAATTGCACAGGACACCCAATAATGCACAGAGCACCCAACACAAATTAGGGGCTGCGTTCTCGAACCTCGAACGCATTTAATGATAATACTAGGAGTAATCGGAGCTTAGGAGAGTGCGTTCGATATGTTTGTTGAGGCGGAAGGGTGGTTGCGATGTAGATAAACATGACTTTGAACGTAAGGGTTGCGTACAGCGAAACCTCTATTTAAACTGTGTATCATTTTAAGAACGTTTTCAAAAGATATCGTATGGTTCGGTGTCAAGTGCTTTTAATCGGAGGAGACATTGGCCAGCGTCGGACGTGTAAATGGAACGTTTGTTTTACTGGCGCGAGTTACAGGGCGCAGTTTCTCAAAGGCCGATTAGTTCTTAACCCGCGATTCTTTTTCTTTCTTCAAAAACATTTCTTCGGATAATTTTCTCTGTTATTTTTAACAGCATCCAATCATCAACTTGTTGGCAAAATGAATTACATTGAATTTACTGGTTTAAAAGCTTTCACATCTGAATTCAAACTTCGCAATAACCCTATCAAAGCCTTCAATGGAACGTGTGTGCAGCTCACGTCAATAACTTTTCCAATAATTTGGTCGAACGTGTTGATTTCAGTGACTCGAGAGTGGCGCTACTGTGGGCTGATTTATAAGTTTTTCCTAATAAATAACATAGAGTTAAAGTGTTCGTTTGTCCGGTTCTGAAAATATCACAAATCATGGTCAAATGGCGCCGCCGAGCTTCACATCTCGGTAGATTTACTTTGTGGCACAACGGCTGCCGAGCTACACAACTCGTAAATTTACCTTGTGACAAAACGGCCGCCGATCTACACAACTCGGTAAATTTACTTTGTGGCATAACGGCCGCCGAACTAAACCCGGTTTGATGCATGCACCAGTAGTCGCAGATATGCAGCCTGGATATTTTCCAAAGACAGTGACGAACCATGCTGAAAAATATGAAGGCTTAATCCAAAATAAAATTTAACAGCAAACTCCTGAAAGATGAACGCTTTGGACGATTCAGCAATCACAGATCGATGTACACTTTACGAAGATTCAGCAAACTTTTTAAAAGATGAAAGCTTTACGAAGAATATCAGACCTTAGCAAACCTTTGAAAGATGAACGCCGAGGACACAAGAATCACCACATGAGTTAGCGCGTCAAAGTGAGGCAAAACTTAAGCAAGCGCCTCAAAGCGAGGCAAATGTGTGTCGACGACGAACGAAGATGCAATCTCAAAAACACCTCCCTGATTAATTGCACAGGTCACCCAATAATATACAGAAAACCCAACACAAATTAGGGGTTGCGTTCTCGTACCTCGAACGCAACAATGCAATGACTACAATGGTCAATCAAGTGTCATCAGTATGATTTGATAACAAATTATTACGTCAATCATTACATAATGAAACAAATGTCAACAAATGTGAATTTACAGAAAAATTCTGTGAACTCATCAAATTAATTGATCTGTGCAGGATAGCTGATTAAAATCGACAACATTTTGTTGGATTTGATTGTAGAATTTTCACCTTGGGATTGAATTCGTTGCTCAATGCAAGAGAAAATGAAATTCGTCTTCAATTATACCAGAGTTACAAACAGGGCAGAATCTATCGTTGTGGGGAGTTTGATTGTATCTTCCAGTTTCAATCATGGGTTTGTGCATGTGGTTACTTATACGAATTTTCACTAAGTCTTTCCTATTGGTCAAATTTCTAATTAAGTCTAGATAACTTGAAATTTTATAATCATGTTTAAATATGCAATAAATTTGTAGTTTCTTAGAATGATGGATTGTATGTTGCCAATATGTAATATATTTTTGTTTTATTATATCTGACCATATTTGGATCAAATCTGGCAGGACATAATATTCATACTGATTAGTATGAATAATAGGAAACTACACTGATGTAGACCACATACTCAATAAAAGGTTGTGGTTTAATATAGGAATTGCATAAAAAAGGAATAACATGTTTTCATAAACAGCTGGGTCGCCAAATTGGAATGTCCTGGTCTGGTACCGAGTAAAGATTTTTTTTTATGTCCCAGCGGCTCACCCCACCCAAATTTTAATATGGCTGCTACCCCCCCCCCCCCCCCCCCCCACCTTTTTCAGGTCTTTTAGGTGTCCTGGCTTAAAGGAAAGCTTTTTTTATGGCGCGATATGAATTATATCTATAATGGCCTTTGAAATACAAAGACATGCAGGGATCGACCAGGATGCAAATGAAGGCGTTCCAACAAGAGAGAGACTATTCACTCTTGGTTCTAATGAATATGAAATCGCCAGCTACTCAAGCTATAAGGGAATAAAAAGTCCTAAACATGCACGAATCGGTGATAATGGCTTCTGCCATACGGAAGGAAGATACAGTATCAAGAAAGAATGACATTTTGAATATTGCGGGATATTGGTATTGGTAGCGAGCTGCCAAGCTCAGTGATCTTTTTCTCCTCCCAAGAAAGCCCTTCATGGCAGAGGTTCTCTGGGCTCGTCATGAAAAGATTGCTCGGGTCCCCTGTCGCTTAGTCTTCTTGTCGTGTAATAATCAACTTCCCGTTTTTTTACTCAACCTTGTCTAGCCAGTGTCGTCCTCTATCCTGATCGCATTCCATCGTGTTAAAAAATCTCAATTTCCCAGAGTTTAGTTCCGGCTGTGACGTAGGCTGAACCTCGTCAGGGTTGTTTTTCACTTTTCGTCCGTCTTGGGGAGTGGTGTGCCTGTGGCATGTGGTCTTTCTCAGTCTTCGCCGACCAATTAGTTCCCAGGGAAACTGCAAACGATTTTGGACTTTACACCATACACAATCAACAATCCATACACGTCTACCAAAGCTGAAATGGCGGAGGGGGTCGCCACCGACTCAAACCTTCCTCTGTTTTCCGCCGAGGAAGTACAGCAGCACAATACAGAGAAGGATGCTTGGATAATACATCGTGGAAAGGTCTACGATGTTAGCGAATTTCTTGAACGCCATCCAGGCGGGAAAGATATTTTACTTGCTTACGCGGGCCAGGACGTGACGGTGTTAATGACACAAGAGGAACTTCATAAACACACGACTTTTGCTTATGGTTGGCTTGGAAAGTATCTTATTGGCCGTTTAAAAGACGATGTAAGTATAGCTTTGAAACTTTTCGGCGCAATTTCTGAATTTGCTAGAAGCAAAGAGTTCGCACCGAAGCGTAGCCAGTTTTAATACCAAGATCTGTTATGTAAAATGCAAAAGACATCTCGATCATTTGTTAGTTTAGTTTGTGGAAGTTTCAGTGACGGGTGAATTTTGCTCTTGGTGAAATAATAATTGGTGAAGAAGTGCGTTTGGTATAGTTTTTTTATAGTGTAAAAACGCATCCAATAATCTAATGAAGAAATATAAAGAAGTCAAGATGATGCTTGCATAACATTTTTGTGACCCGAGCAGTTAACTCGAGTGTAAAAATATTCTCCGTTTAACAAATTTATTTAACATTGAATATTTAAACATTATTAGCAGAAATCCTAACAGAAAAAACAAAGTTTGTGATAGTCTCAACCGTGCCAAAAATTGCTGATGTTGTTTTCTTGATGTTTTTGAAATAATTTCCAGGGGATGAACAACGCACGTCATGCCCAGATAAATTCATTATGATTCATAATCGGCCACCATTTAACTATTTGCATCCTCTATTATTCTCTCTGGGTTTATTCACCTGTTTTTGCATTTATTAAAGAGACTGCTTTTTTGTGTGTGTAAAAGAAAATAAACCACATATTGCTACTAAATTATCACATGTTTGCTTTCACGTGAGGTAACATAACACCAAAAATACTGTAAGGGTTTTTCACTTTTCTTCGAGGAAAGAAATGTGTGGTAATAATTAACAAAGTAATTTCCATTTCCAGTGAAGTTCAACTGAAGCATGAAGACAATTGTAATCCACCTTTTTATGCATGTAAAACTCTGTAGGCAGAAGCTTTGCAAAAAAGTGGCTTTTTGGGTGGTCCCCCCTAAATGGAACTATAGCTCAGGGGCAAATGCTTGAATTGTTTTATGTGAATGTTTTTGAATTCCTAAAAAAACTAGACTTTTTGGGAAACTGCATCAATTAAAACTTGGAGCAGTGAACATGTTGTTTGTTTGAATCTGTTATCTATTTGAGCTTGCTATTGTGAAAGAGAGATTTGTATTTCTTTTGTTGGCCGCCAATTTATCTGTAAGTTGATTAAACCATGAAATCAATAGTCTTGAAGGGGCTCTTTGCAACCTCCTACTTAAATAGACCCAGCAATCAAGAAAATGCTTAAGATCAACCTCTATGCATCCTTGGAGATCCAGGGGCAGATAGTGGGTCGAGGGAAAGTCTTCTTGGGTGGATCTAAAGTGTTGTTGTTGTTGTTGTTGTTGGATCTGGCCTTGGATCTACGAGGATAACCTCTATGTTATGGTTTTTTTTCACATGAATCATACGTTGCCACTGTATAGACAGAAATAATCCCTTAGCACTGGAAACAATTTTTTTATGTAAAGAATTTTTTGTTTGACATTTGTTTTAAGAGTACTATATGCAGTATATTAATAGGGAATTTAAGATAGTTCACTATGGTAGGCTGGGGTGGTTGGATGTGTATACATGCGGCTTGGGGCCATGACTGTAAGAAGGCATGAAACTTTTCAATTTAAGAATGGACAGCAAAACAGAGGATGGTAAAGTCATTCGCAAAACTCGCTTGAAATTTCTTTCACAGAAGGCTCAATTACTGAAGAAGAGTTTCTTATTTTATATGAAGAATACCAATCAGAAGAATAAGGGTACAAATTAAAGCTAGCTAGTTTTCAAAACTAGTCGATGTTTTTATTTGAATTTTCCTTTCCTAAGCCAACACCTTTTGAGTTAAACAAATCTTTTCTTGACAAAAAGTTTAAAAAAAGACAGCTACAATCATCACTGTGAGGCCCAGTTCAAATATCAAACTTCTCATGTGCCGAAACTAATGCACAAATTACTAAAATTTATTTCACTTGTCTAGAGCGTGCTAGACCGTTGAACATACATCGTGAAAATGAATTGAGTTTGACTAATTAAGTTCCACGTCTGAATCAACCGTCGAACTTATATCATTTTTGTCGACCTAAATAAGTATTAAGTTCAGTACGTGAAAAGATCAACATTTGAACTGGGCCTTACCTTTTGTTTTTGGCAACGTTTCTCTGTCATGGCGGACAGCACTAGGTAGAAATCAAGCAGTTGCCATGTGGCTGTGAGCTAAGTTAATGAATGAACTCACTATTTTTTTTATTCATTTCACCAGTAGGGAAATCAATGTAAACACAAACCAACACACATTTAACCCATTGGCTACTTATTTTTAGAAGAAAACTGACAATAAGTATGCATGAATTCTTATCAGTTTCACCGTTGTCTTCACAACGAGAAAGCTGGTGAAAACATACTGTCCCAGAAGGACGACAGTAAAAGTTCACGCGTATTTTGCGTGACATAACATCTATCCAACCGTCCCAGGTGACCGTAGTGACCTATCTTAAAGTAGCACTGCAGAGTGGCGAAACTTGGGAAGAACTTGAGAATTGTGTATCATAATAATGACAATGATGAAAACTATAGTCAGTTAAATCCTTAGCATTTTAAAGACCTATAGTGATAAACAGTTGTGAAGAAAAACCTGCAAATTACATATTGGATAGTACTGCAAATGGATGACGTTTTTATTCTGAGATAAAGGTCAACTGATATACACTGGTTTGTGTAGACATTTTCTTGTTTTGATGCTTTATTTTTACATAATTACAGGAATTAGGTGATGAATTTGACTCCACCACACGAGAAAACCTTTCAATGGATGGATGGCGAGAGGTATAGAAAAAAACTAGGATTATTGTTGTGCTACCGCAGTGCAAGGCTGTCATTAAGGGCTGGGGTTAGGAAAATAAAGGAAAATAAAAATAAAACCCAGAAGAACTTGGTAGGTGTTTAATGCCCCCTACCAATTTCAGCAACTTGAAATCTTAGTGGCAGCCCTGCCAACAGGAAATTGTAAATACCCAAGTGACCACAAACAAAAAAATGAAAACCACCAACAATGTCCATTCCATCTTGTTACGAATAATGGTATCTTTGGTCGAAGCTGGGTTAAGATAACCCTGGGTTAGTGCGAAATTTGAACTCAGATGTGAGAGATTAAAAAGCAAATTCAGTTTAATTCTCTTTGCCTACAATTTGATAATTGGATACTCTAAAAAGAATAGAGAAAATTATCCGAGAAAGTGCTTTTGATAAAAAGATAAAGAAACCCGTGTTAAAATTTAACCCCAGGTTAGCGCTAACCGGCGTTCGAACAACTGGGCCCAGGTGTTTTCCTTGTGACTTTTATTATAACATATCCAATGTAATTCTCATGTTCATGAATTTTGAGGCCTGAAGTTTAAACATCTCTGCTGATAATAAGTCCAACATTGCCTGATGGTAAAATTAGCAGTAACTGGTAATTCATTTTTATGTTGTATGTTTGATAAAATTGCACTCACTACCCAATTTACCAAGTGAATGAATCAATATTTAATGTTCCATAGTAAATAATATTTTGAACGGCTAATCAATAGAAGCCAAAATAAAAAATATATATTTCATGTGTTTCAAAGAATGAAAATATCGAAGAACAACTTACTTTTGGACTTGATAATGACTCATTTTTCCCCATGTAATTCTGACTTAATTTCAATTTTATCTTAGCTCGTAAACGCCAAGAAGGTGATAGTAGCAAATCTTTATTTATAACGTGTATTTACTTATAATTTATTCTAGGATCTTGTTGATTGGAAGAAAGCTATCCTACCTCAAGTTGGAAAGCTTGGCCCAAACTACCTAAACTGGGTTCATTCACCAGTTGATCGACCCTTAAGGCTCTTCGAGTCTGACTTTGTGGAATTCTTCTCCACAACGCCCTGGTATGTTGTGCCAATTATCTGGATACCAACAATGTTATATATGTGCTACTTGTCCATTCAAGATTTGACAGCTAGGGATGGAGTTCAGAACATTGATCCATATTTTGTGGATTCCAAGACTAAGGTTGCATCAGTTTTTTCTGCTCTGTTTCTGTGTGGATTGTTGTTGTGGTCATTTATTGAATACTGCTTGCACCGCTTCTTGTTTCACCTCATCAATCACGTTCCTGCCGATGATCCATTTTGGATAACCATTCACTTCTTTCTTCATGGACAACACCACAAGGTAAGGGTTTGTTTTTTTTCCCAGTAGTTTTTCCTGATTTTTATTCAAGGACACGGTGGGTTTGGAATTTTAAGGACAATCTAAGGTGACAGTGTGTGTAGTGAGTAAGACTTCATAACAATTCACAGAACTCTCAAATTCAGTCTGATCCTAATAGTCCTTTTATTCATGACCTCATTCTGTCATGGCAGGAAACTCAAATACAGACAGTTAAGACTACAAGTAAGTTGTTCTTCATTTCCTCAGGGAATGAGGGAAAATTGCCACTTGTGAGGAAGGCGCATGATGCAGAGAGAGAGAGAGAGAGAGCGAGAGAGAGGAAATCTGTAGTCCCTAGTTTTCTTTCCTTCCTTCTCATCTTGCCTCTCCTCACATGTGGCAGTTTCCACACGTGCTTGCGAATTTCACTTACAAAGTTCAACTATCTCTAAGTAAAATGAGAAACTACTCACTATTCTAAGCACTGTTGGACCACTTTAGTTTTCTGGCAGTTGTTTGAGTGACATGCCATGGCCATTAGAGAGCTTTAGATTTGAGGACGAGGATGACTACGAGTACAAGATTTAACTTAAAGTTTTTTCGCTTATAGTTGAAAAATGTTCAACCCGGAAAGCTTCATTGTACTATTTTGTCCCGGAAAATTAGTGCGGTTATTTTTATTGGGAAGCTTTAGCCCTTTCCCAGTTGAAAATTATTAAAAATTCTAAAATTTGATAACTTGTTACTGCCACTACAACATTCTCGCTAAAACTCGTAGTAGGATGACAATGGCTAACATGTTTTCTCCCCAAAATGGTGTTGGTTCATGCAAGAGCACTAAATACTGAGAAAATCTCATACTCGTAGTTGTCCTTGTCTCAGAATCTAAAGCTCTAGAAGTCCTAAGAGTGACAAACATCGAAATATTTTCTCTTAACAATATCTGTTTCAATATGTAGAGGTTTAAAACTGTCATATTATTGTTATATTCTAATTATGTAAGGAAATGTATGGAGACAAGTCTAGAGGATGTACTATATGTGAATATTTGGGGCTTACAGAAGGGTTAACTACTTATTAACTTTTGTCAGAACTGACCGACGAGACCAGTCCAATCACAAAGAGAATTCCACTTTTAGTCAGGAATGTCAAACAGATTGGTCTATTCCTGAATAGTATGCTGGGTAGAGTAAGTTCTTATCAAAAACTTGGAATATAGCCTATTTCATTTACAAAAAGACTGATCTGTTTAGCCACTGATTTTTGGTAAACACCCCAAGGTGTGAAATTATCTAACATGGCAGCTGACATCTACTAAGTTTTATAATCTGTGGAGGACAATATAATTTAGGTAAAATTTGTTGCTGTAGAGAGGTCAGAACAGTTAGTTATTCCTTGTCTTATATATTGTTGTTAGGTGCCGTTTGATAGTGGACGGCTAGTCTTTCCTCCTGTAGCAGCCGGGGTATTGGCCAGCATGTTCTACTACCTGTTCATTACATGTCTGCCACCAGCCATTGCCAAGAGCGTGTTTGCAGGAGGTTTACTGGGTTATATCATGTATGATATGATGCATTACTATCTTCACCATGGCTCTCCAACTCCAGGAAGTTACCTACACCAGCTTAAAAAATACCATGTTTCTCACCATTTTGAAGACCAACAGAAAGGTACTTTAACAGTTAGCTTTCCACAGTTAGCTGAATGTCAAGAACTTTTAAGGTCGTAGGAAATACTATGAGTGAATTCATTTTGATGGCAGGGTTTGAGAACGCAAATAGAGAGACCTCAGAGTGGTTACAACAAGGATTATTGATTTCATTGTTTGCTTCTTTACAAGCTTGATATAATTTATTATAAGTAGGAGCTTATTGGTACTGAGTATAATGTGTGGTTCATGAAAACACATACTCTCAATGTAAAGAGAACTTAAAATTCTAGTGGCAGGGCTCAAAATTACGGCCGGTCAACGGACAATGTCCGGCCTGATCGTGGGCTTGACTGGTCAAACTCTCGTCTGGCCAGTCATTTTGACCGGTCATTTTTGGATGCTTGTCGCTTAATGCATTTTACTCTATAACGCTGTAATTCGCTGCTTTCTTTGGCGTTTTTTGCTGCTTTGCACTAAACCCTTTAAAGAAAAACGTTCTGCTTTGCTGTGATCAGTAATGCGACCTTCTTTGGGAAAACATACGCTAACAATAATCCGTTATTTTTTAGAAAACTAAAGGATGAGTGACTGTTTTTGTCCATCAAACGTTTCACATCTAATTGTAAGAGGATTGTGAAAATCACCTTCGATGGAATTCGGGCTAATGGATCGCTCGTCCTGTACTGTTTCTCTGGGAATAAATTTCAGCGCGTCGATTAATTATAATAATTTCTTTATGTCGAACATGATCTCGTTTGCAGACTCGATTCCAGAATTGTCTGATAAAAACTAAGCTAATCGAGAACGAATGTCGCTTATCTCGGCCCTTAAAATCCTCCTTCTTGATAAGTCCTTCGCGATAAAGTGTTGCGCGACGACCCAAACGAAAGCTCTGCTGTATATTTATTGACTT